AACCTTTGAGCTGAGCAGTACATTTAATCACGAGCAGCTCGTTACACGTTACAGGGTGAAAACAATTTTTAAATTATGGTCTGTATTTTTAAATTTCTGAGAAACGGTCAGTTTCAAGTATGGGAAATATAATAGTAACTCACCTATAGTACCTAAAAATATAAAAAATATAGGGTGTTCCATAAGAAAAAATAAAACATGTAACTTTTTTGGGAGTCGCCCTATATGTTTCAAAATAATTTTGGAATATGCTTCTCATGGACCCACATATGACTGTGCTAAAAGGTTTTCCCTAACTCTCTTCATTTCTCGTTGAAATAACGAGGCGAATGCGATGGGCCACCCTGTATATGTTATTATAATATCAACGTTAATGTGAATGTCATAATGATTTACTTTGTTTTACCTCAAACGGGAGGTTATTGTAGTCCAATAGTGAGTAATTAGATGATGTAAAATTTTCCACAGGACCATCTGTGAATAGATCAAACATCAACAAAGGCCTCTGGACGAGGCCTTAAAATGGCTAGATTCAAAACCTTTTATAACTACTTATTAGTTATGCTTTCAGTGCTGCCAACTCTGATTTAAAGTGTAATAGTTGTGAATAAGTTCTCTTCATATATAGCGGCTCCTTAACGAGAAGCGAATCTCTTGTTTGTAAATCAGATTTCAATTGATTGATTTCAGAGAATGGGCTAAAGCACAAAAAGTAAAAGATCTCAAAGTATCATGGTACATTCCAGGAAAAAAAGAAGTTGGAGCTGTACAGCAGTTACTCAACAAGTACTTAGTACCTGAATTAGATAAACTGGAGAAATATTCAAGTGGTGAAATGAATTTGAGCAGGCAAAACTTGAAGCAGTCGCTGAAAATAATCATTTCAATATTAACATGCCAGTCCCTGTTGCCAATGTGGGAAGAGCCAGTTGTTCAACTGTAAGTAGTAATATCAATAAGTTTTTTTTTTATTGATTCGGCCGTTTCTTGCTGAAGATCCATAGTAATTTTATAAACTACACCTCACGATTTGATCTCCACAAACTTTATTTGAAAGTAGAAGCAGACAACTCAATCAATTTCTTGGACTTAACAATCAGTAGAATGAACAACAAACATGATTTTTCAATTTATCACAAACCGTCCTATACGAATATTACTATACATTACTATACATATCAACACAAAGTAGCAGCTTATAATAGCATGATTCACAGATTAGTCAATGTTCCTCTTTCAATAGGTAATTTTGATAAAGCGAATTGCAGTAAACAATGGCTTTCAGGCCCAATTAATAAACAAAATACTTTCCAAAAAAGCATACGCAAAAGCGATTCGAGACGTTTTTCCTATTGATAAGTTAGATAATCAAAATTATAGCGCTTTAACGTACTTTGGACAAACAACGGAATAAAATAATGATAAAAAACTTTTAAAACAGGCTTTTAAGTGCCCTAAAAAGATCATAATAAAAATTTAAATCACATTAACCACATTCATTTATGACTTTACAGAATTGAAATTATAATAAAGGCTTGTCGCGATAATTTCAATTTGTAATTGGAATTTTGTAATTACCTAGGCACCTACTATAATAGGGGAGCCCAAGNAAGAAATTCAACGTTACTGGTATATTAGCCATATTGCCATCCAGTCAGCCAGCGCCCTCTGTAGTGTATGCGACAATGTGCTCTTTCTAATGTCAATGGTTTCCACAAACTTTGTATTTTTGTTAAAATAATTTCAAAATGAATATTAAGCCTAGTTTTGTTAAAACTGACTCCCGACAACTTATCAAGAGTCGATTTTGAAATGATCGATGATTCTGTAATTATATAATTGTAACAGTTGTATTCACACCTAGTTGACAACAATAACAACCAAAGTGGCGTCTGTCAAATTGGATCAACATATCTGTGATTGGATATTAAAAGCCAATACTTTTGACAATTCCGCTCTAGACACGATCAATTTTGTTGGTCAACAGACACGCGGCCAATTAAAATTCTTGCTTTTGCAATAACAACAGAAATGGCGTCTGTCAAATTATGTCATCAGATCTGTGATTGGATATTAAAAACTAATACACTTGGCAACTCCGCTCTAGACAAGATCAATTTTATTGGTCAACAGTCACGCGGCCAATTTAAATTCTTGCTTTTCGAATTGTTCTTTTTTCTGCAAATATAAAGAGATCATAGGACCGATTAGGCTTGATAAGTATAATATACCCCTAACTCAATCAGTCTATAAGCAAACCAGTATCATTTTCCATAGCATAAAACAAGCGCCTAGTAGTTACCTGTGGTATATAAATATTAGTGTAAGAAGCAACTTGTAGTATTGAAAACACTGTTGAAGAAGCTACTGTGTTAGCGAAGCATGTCGTTATATATTTTTCAAATAAAATTTGTTGAGATCCAATCGTGAGGTGTAGTTTATGAAATCAATAAGTCCAACGGGGTTCAAGAAAGAATTGATTTTTAATAATGATGAATCTATTTTATTCCGAAGAAAAAGCGAATTATTGAGTTCAGATTTTCAATTTGTTTTATATTCTTGTTGTTTCTAGGGTTGATAGCGTTCTGGATCCTTGGAATTTCAATTTAAAAGTGAGCAATAGCGATACAGTAACAATGCCCGATGGAAAAAATGTTAGAAAAGTTATTGCTGATATATTACACAAGTTGCAGTATTACTTATTAGATCATGACGAAGGCGATACACAGAGCATCAAAAATATTATTGATGTAAGTAGATATTTCATTTATGTAATCATATGGAAAGGATTAAAGGCTGTTAAGATACTGAAATTACTCGAATTTAAGTTTGTGTGTAAGAAATCTCATCATTACAATACGTACACAAATAATTGTATACAGGGTGTTTATTAAAAATGCGGCAAAACTTTAGGTATACTATTCTAAGGATATTAAGTCCTATGATGATTTTTGATAAGGTGCTTTGTTTCAAAGATACGGGGCGAAAAAGAATTTCGACAATAACTATTTTGGTAATTTTAAAATTATTAGGTTNGATGGTCACTATCTTGCACTGATGAGTGGCTAATAAGCCCGAAACCGGTCTGCAAGTGTGCCCGTTCCATAATTGAAGGTCGACTCTTTCAGTTGTATTGCCAATTGCATATGCAGGACATTTTCTGTGAAAATTCCTGCACTGACGCCTGTCGGATATAATCCAACGCCCTTCGTGGTATTAGCCAGGGGAGTAGTTGTTTTCTGATAGGCGTCAGTCCATTAAACCTACTGTGTAGGTATTTAGAGACTGGCTTGAACGTTTGAAGTTCATTTGCTTTAGATTCGTTTACTGCCAGTCTTCAAGCATAGCCCACTGACTAATAAGGAAGTCAATATCATTTCTTGGGGATGTGCAAAGGAGTTCAATTTAGGGTTTCAAGATACTTGCGGACCAATTTTTCTAAGAGAGGGTCTCTTGACTGTACCATCCATATTTATCTTGAAAAGTGCCCATAAAAATATCGATATATTTACCACAGATTCAGATATTCATGGTCGAGACGCCTGCCATGGCGAACTATTGAGAATTCCTCCACATAAAACGATTCATTTTAGTGTACATTTTTCAGTGCAAAGAACTGTTATAATAACTTCCGTCGACTATTAGGAAAATTGTCTCAGAAGTTTTTTATTCTGCTTACTACAGTCGTAAGGAATTATTGCCTGACACTTTCCCGTGAATTTGTGAAAGTAGTCAATAATAAAACTCCTCCTCGACTTTTCTGCCAGTCTTCTTCGGTAATATTAGATACTTCTTCTTTAACTAGCTCTATTACCTTCTTATCAAATTTTGGAAAATTATTATTACACCTGATGATTTGTTTCAATTTGTCCCAAATGAACTCGATGGGATTCTCAAACCATAGGTCCACCCTATCGTAACTGTGTAGTGAGTGTCATACCAAGTTTCGTCCAAAAAGAAAATTTACCGTTGTTCTTGTCTATATTTAGTTATTTGTTCTGAGTATTTGTTTTGCAATTTCACTATTCTTCTGCTTTTCATAACTGTTTGACGTTTGTTTATTATTTCAAATCTAAATCCTAAATCCTGGTTTCTTTATCCAATTCTGAAGAGTTTTGTAACAGCAGCTCACGTTATGGCCGGAAGTATTCAATTTCTTCCTTATGATTTCAATTGTAGGTATCTCATTGCTTTTGTAACAGTCATATATTGTTTTTTTTTTATGATTTTATTAGATGAACATCTAAAGGTTTTGGTAATTCCGTATCACATCGCATCTTGCGTTCATAAGGTTTGTTTTTTACTATTTTACGTACAGTTGAGAAAGGAATTTGGGTCAAAGCTGATGTTGCTTGTAATAGTTTGTTCCCCTCGAAACCAAACTTGAGATGTAGATTCTTATACAGGGTGATTCAAAAGTACTTTGACAAACTTCAGGAGGTGATTCCTCACAATATTCTAATATGAATTGTCCGAATAAATAAATGTCCGGAAACGCTTCGTTTCCAAGATACAGGATGTTGAAGTTTTATTTTTATTTTTTTCCGCAAATGTGCGGTTAGCTCCTGTTGGTGACACCGTGCATATGTGATGTTTTTCATTTTTGGTAACCAGTTTCTGTTCATCTTTGCAATTGGCTGCACCACGCTGATGAGGCCAATAGCCAGAAGCACGTGTCCGCGGTTAGCCCCCATTTTTTGGGTGCCTTAAAACTCACTAAATTATAAATGCTTTATTTTTCAACCCAACAGAAAGTTCTGTTCGGAAGTTATATATAAACGAAAAAATAGTTTCAGAATTTTATAAACATTCACTTGAGTTACGTTTTCAGACACTGGCGCTACAACACCATGGCTATGAATTTCATAAAGAATTTAGTACATTTGGATGTCAAATATAGCCATAGAATTGTCAAATTTTTCCTCAACGCCTTAATTGATGAATCCATAATCGTAAGAAAATTAGCAGCTAAAGTATTTGTGTACATTCTGGTCCAGAACAGAATTAACTTCAAGAAAGTTGAAATCGACCCCTACAAATTTTCGAGCACAACAGTAAATGGAAATGTAGTACCTGGAATTCGCGAGGATAACAAATGGTTGTTATACAATAGCCTGACAGCACCGAAATCTTCAGAAGAGTGGAACGAACCTCGCTATGTACACAATCAATACACTGGGTATTATACTTGGCCAAAAAAATTGGAAGTTTTTGACTCACCTTCCAAACAGGTGACGCCTGCAAAAAGAATGGATGATTTGACTGAAATAGAAAAGGAAATATACGTTTTTTTCAGTGATGAAGCAAAAGTGTCCACCTTAATTAAATATTTATCTATGGAAGAGAAGAAGGGCCATGATCAATTCAATGCCTACAGATTTTTTATGTTCAAGGTAATTTTTCAATTTGTATCTGATGATTAATTGATTCAAGCAAGAATGGTTAGTGTCATGAATATTCAAATTAATAAAGTCTAGTGGTGCACTGTTTGGAACCTTTGATGTAGTAATGAGTATTACTGGAGGTTCAACCAACACCTCGATATGTGTTTCAATCACCAAGGGATCATCTTCAAGAGGAAGATTAAAGTGTTGAATCACTTGGCGATCGAAACACTTGTTATGGTGTTGAAAATAACAGTTTGGTGTATAAAACTTCAGTAATATTCAATAAAGTCTAGGTACATTTCTCAAGTCTTCTCTCTCTCTCTCTC